TTTCCAGCCAAATTCCAGCTAGGTTCCACTAGATTGAACGTTTTACAGATTACAAGTTTAATCTCACACTCAATCTACCACAAGAACCAAAATTCCAGTTCCTGCACCTAAACCTTCACCAAGAACCAAATTCCAGTTCTTGACCAACCCTGCAGACCAAATTCCAGCTACAGAAACCAGTGCCCACAATTCCAGGCACCCACAATACAGTAAAGAAAGTAAAGAAACAAATAGAAGAAACTAGAACGCTCAAACCAGATTTATGCAACTCTGCAGTATGAGTTTCTTCTCCAAGAGAATGCAAATATTGCCTCAAGAAAGAATTTCTAAGAACTTCACAAAACTAGCGCGATTCTCTCTTGAAAGTAGCACTTATGATTGAAGCACTTGTTGGATTTGATGAAGACATATAGAGTTTATATAGTTTAGTTTGTGGGTGTGTAGGTGAATAGGTTATAGGTTAGAATTTAATCTCTTGATAGTTCAATAGATCTTGTGATAAGCGCCTTGAAATGATGCATCTCATTAAACTTATTTTTCTGCATGAAAAACCAACCTTTAAACATTAAAAGAACAAACTGAGTTTTTCAATCTGTTAAAAAGAAGTTTCAATATGTTAAAATTACTTAACGTAGAAAATGTTCATATACAGTCAAAATTTTAATTGATTGAATCATAGAATCAACAGGTTAAAATGTTCTTAATGATTTTTTCAATTAAAGGTTGCGCATTTTCAATCTGTTGAAAACAAAGATCAATCTGTTGAAACAGAGAGATGTTATTTTCTAATTTGGAGTATCTTAGAATTTTAATCTGTTGAAATATTTTTTAATCTGTTGAAACAGAGAGCTATCATTTTTCTAAAACTGTTTCAATCCATTAAAAACTCGAATCAATCGATTGAATGAAGTTTTAAATAAAATCAATCGATTGAAACGTCGTTTTAATCGATTGAAAAGAATTCTGATCGATCACAATTTGATTCTAATCGATCATAACTGGTTCTGATCGATCACAAAACTATTCTAATCGATCATAACTGATTCTGACCTGTTATATTATTATTCTGATCGATCATCCGTTACTCTAAATCAGTTTTAATCAATTTAGACAATCAGGTTCTCTTTTTATTATATAAATACAAGTTTTGATTTGTCTATTGAAACATACAATTTGTGAAAACATTTGAGAGCAATCTTAGAGCTATCATATCCGTGACTTTCTCTGTGCATTCAAAAACTGTTCATATCATAATGTGCTTTGATCAAGATTGTTGTTCATCAAAGAGAGAAAGTTCTGAGTTAGAATTGCTTCTGGACTTCCATATTGTTAAAGTTGCAGTCCAGGTTTATTCTTTTCATTTACTTGTATAAAGTGTGATTGTGTAGATTGGGTTTGAATCTGCACTGGTTACAGTAACTGGATTTGGTTACTGGGTGGTTATTCAAGAGTCTATCTTGTGGGTTTGTGAGATAGTTCTTGGGGTAGATTGGTGTTTATCTACTGGTTGTAATTTTCACTTGGAATTAGTGGAACTTGGCAGATTTGTCAAGAACTGGATGTAGCTCTGGGAAAGAGTGAACCAGTATAAACTTTTGTGTTGAATTTCTGCTTTCATCTCTTTTAATTCTTGTCTATATTCTTGCTTTGATTAAAACTAAATCCACCTAATAAAAGAATTGAATAAAGATAATTCATTCTTCCAAAAGAAAGAGTGTTTTTCGAAAAAGTTTTCAAAAGTTCAATTCACCCCCCCTCTTGAACTCAACCATTAATTCTTACAATGATTGCTTGATTGATTGCTAAAAGATGTATTTAAAAAGTTTAAGCAACTCTGTTTATATAGAAGATTTTCAAAACTGCTGGTTTATTTAATCTGTTAAAATAATCTTTTAATCTGTTAAAAGTCTTGTTTTAATCTGTTAAAACTTCTTTTAATCTGTTAAAAAGTTCTTGATTATTTTCCAGATTTGTTTTAACTGATACGACACCATTTATATCAATTAAAACTCTTTGTAAAAAATCTTCCAAACTGTTTTAATCGATTGTTTCGTCTTTCAATCGATTAAAATACTGCAAAACATTCTTATAAACTTTTCTAAGTGATTTTAACTGATAAAAATCTGTTTTAATCGATTATAACACTTTGAAAAAATTCACTTAGTTATTTTAATCGATTGAAACACATTTTAATCGATTATAATTCTGCCAAAAGAATTCATAAAACTTTCTAAGTTATTTTAACTGATAGCAAGCTTGTATTAATCGATTAAAATATTCTGGAAAAACTTCTTAGTTGTTTTAATCAATTATATCAATTTTATATCAGTTAAAATACTGGCAGAAGGTTTTCAAAAATCCTTCTAATGAAAACAATCGATTATTTCGAAAACATATCAGTTAAAAACATGTTACAAAAGTGTTAACACTACTACAAAATATACTTTCTACGTCGTCATTTAACGTCGGTTATAGCTGAGACGACTTAGAAATTACTTTCCACGTCGGTTCCCAGATGAACCGACGTTGAAAGTTGAATATTAAACACATTCTACGTCAGTTCTTAGTCAACAGACGTAGAAAGTACTTTCTACGTCGGTTCCCATATAAGCCGACGTTGAAAGTCTTTTTTTTTTTAACTTATTGACACTTTCCACGTCGGTTCCCATATGAACCGAGCGTGGAAAGTCTTTTTTATTTCTTTCACCCAAAAAGTCACTTAAATTCAAAAATTATCATTGGCGGGATTCAAACCCGAGTACTTTAGAGTTGGAGACTGATACTCCAACCACTAAGCTACTAGAATTTTCCGATAATAACTTACAAATAAATTATATTTATATACAAAAAATATATATCTATGTAAATATATATTTATTTGTATATATTTTACTGGAAAGTATTTTTATTTTTATTTTCGACCAAAAATTCTCTTAAGTTAATGAATTGTCATTGATAGCATTTGAACCCGAGTATTTTAGGGTTGAAAGTTAATATCCCAACCACTAAACTACTATAATTTTTTTATAATAACTTACAAATAAATTATATTGGTATTTTTCGATCGAGGGTGAAAGTGTGATTGACTCTTGCTTGAGTGAAAATATGTTAAAGCTCACGGAAATTCACTTACTCAAGTCTCGCTTGAGCAAAAATTGGTATTTTTCGCTTGAGAGCAAATAACGCGTTTCCCAAATTTATTTTATATCATTATATAAATAAAATTATAAAGATTATATTTTGTCATTAAATTACAAACTCGTATAAAGATACCTGCTCACAAATTTAGCATCAAATTTTGAAAACCCACTCGACACACACTTTCATTTTCGAGTGTGCCCTCACATCCAACATATAAATATATAAATATATCAAAATATATAAATATATTTGTATTTATATATTTATATATTTACACGAGATATATATTTATTTGTATATAAATATAATTTATTTGTAAGTTATTATCGAGAAAATTCTAGTAGTTTAGTTGTTGGAGTATCAGCCTCCAACTCTAAAATCTTGGGTTCGAATCCTGCCAATGACAATTCTCTTAAAAAATTAATAAACTTCTAAAAAATATAATATAAAGAGATGGAGGACCTAATAAAAATATAATATAAAGAGAGGGGAGACTTCTAGATAAATAAAAGGGGATAAAGGGGTTGTAAATAAATAAAAATTATTAATTTAAAAAATCATACTTTCAACGTCGGTTCAACAACCGACGTTGAAAGCTTTATTTGTAGTAGTGTAAGAACATTTTAGTTGATAAAGCTTATATACTATTAGTTAAAATAGTTTATTAAAAACCTTTTAACAAAATACTTTGTTTTTAATCGTTTAAACATTTTTTAGAGGCAATTGCAGAATCTTTTAAATGAAGAAACCTCATGCAGCAGAGAGATAAAAATGATTATACCTAAGCAGAGATGCAGACTCACTAAACCCACTACTCTTTTATCTAAGTGACATTTGACTGCCACAAAGTAGCCTTTGACTTTATTTGACTTCATCAAATCAACAAGATATTTGTCAAAGTAATTCAATAAGATCTTTATCACTTTCACATTCCACATCATGAAACTTATAGTAAACTTAACCATTTAAAAGCTTGGATTGAATATCGTGTTGTTTGAGTGATCTTAAAAGGTCATCACATATAGAGGACAACCCTCAATGGGTCATGAGGTATAGAAGATTGACCTCAAAGGGTCATCGTGTAGAGTAGGCCAACCTTAAAGGGTCATCGTGTAGAGTAGACCGACCTTAAAGGGTCATCGTGTAAAGTTATCAAACCTCAAAGGGTCATCATGTAGAGTAGACCGACCTCAAAGGACCATCATGTAAAGTAAATCAACCTCAAAGGGTTGTCGTGTATAATAAACTGACCTTAAAAGGTCATCATGTAAAGTAAATTGACCTCAAAGGGTCATTGTGAAGAGTAGACCGACCTCAAAGGATCAATGCGTAGAGTTGACCGACCTCAAAAGGTCATTGTGTAAAGTCGTTTGACCTTAAAGGATCATTGTGTAAAGTCATCTGACCTCAAAGGGTCATCTTGTAGAGTCATCTTTATTGTGTTAGATTGTATTAAAATCTTAGGATGAATCTCATTTCTTCTATGATGCTTGTGGTCTCTCCAAGGTTTTGGAGTGAGCTTTGGGTTTAGGAGTTGGAGTGTGAGTGAGAGTTGAAGAGGTTTCATTGTTGGTGGAGCTTGTTGTTGCAATGGACAACTGCATCTTTCATTCCACTTTCTTCCTTCACGGTTCATTCTCCTCTTCTTTCTCCTCTTCTGCTTCTTATTTACTATAACAACAACAACAACAACAACAATAATAATAATAATAATAATAATAATAATAATAATAATAATAATAATAATAATAATAATAATAAATAATGATAAATAAATAATAAATAAAAAAATTGACTTTAATCTTATGTATTGTATGCACATTGGTGATGCTTGTATCTGCTCATGAAAATCCCTAGCATTATGACCAAAACCCAATCAAAACCCCCAAGCACTTGATCGTGTCCCTTACACATGCCGCACCCAACTCCTCTCCGTCCCTAGTCAGCACTGCAACGAGGATCCCAGCCGCCTCGTGCAACTTTAGTGTCGTAATTCCGCAAGGCGGCACAAGGGGAAGGGTAATGGCCATGAAGGAAACAAGGGCATAAGGGGCGATAGGATCCAAGGCCTTCGTGGCATTGAGAGGAGAGATGGCTATGATAAAGTAAGGTGGCGACGTGAGTTTGGCGGCACGATTGGAGTGCAAGGCGACTGTGACAAGGATAGTAAAGCATTAATCAACATGAACGTCAAGAGAATCATATGTATTTTGGACAACGTGGGAACCTTTCGTCTCCACAAGCATGATGGGATGCCCTTGTATCCTGAAGTTATGGGCGTCCTTAAGACCAACGTTGCATATTCTTCCTATGTTGAATACCATGTCAGGTAAAAAGGACTAGCTCGTCAAGTTGGTTAAAAACATTCACCACAATGTTGTTATTGCTATTGTGTAGTTGATTTCGGGTCCAGAGAATTGGTCGTTGCTAAGAATACCCTGTTACGGCACTCCCGGAGGAGCAATAGTATCTCGCACGGGTCTTCACCTCGTACTCTCGCTGTCGCCAACATGCATAGCATTAATAACATCTCCCTTCTACCCATTTTTTCTTTTAGTTCAAAGAATTTTGATTGGTGGGTGAAGAAGGAAGCAGACGCAAAGCTTAAGGGTTTATTTTATCTTGGCTTTTTTTTTCCCTTTTTCATGTAGTAGGAAACAGTTTACCATTTCCCACAGATGCGCTAAATGTTACCGCTCAAAAATTCCCCTTTAATTGTCTATGATTCGTGTTAAGTGAACCTGCCTCTTTTCAAACCCCAGTACCCCTTTTTATCAGTTATTCAACTTTGATACGGTCTTTTCTAATTATTATTATTCATTATGTGAACATCTTGATAACGAGCCTGATTTTAGGCGGGATTTTCGAAATCGTACCCTTAAAAGAGAGGCTCATCATGTGACAAGCCCTTAACTATATTTTTATTTTCGGTTTTGATTTCTATTTTGTTTTTCAGTTCTTATTTTTTATTTTCCAATCCTAAATTTAACTTGTATGGAAATAAAAATAAATGAAGATGATGTATGATTGAAGATAATAAAGATGAAGATAAAGAAAAACAAGATGATATATATAATTACTCAGATTTAAAATCATTTAAAATATTATTATAGCTAGGTTGTATTACAATTTTTATTTATTTTATGTCACTATATTAACATATGTAGATTTTTTTTTCATGTTGTATATTTTAATATATTTATGTCATAATGACTTATATGTTTTCATATACATTTAAATTCTTCTTTTTGTTAGATTATACTTAACAACTAGTAAGGAGAATAGAGAATGGACCAAAGAGGGGAAGAGGTAGAGGTAGAGTTACGATGCCCCAACTAGACATTCTAATTATGCATTTACTTCTACTACACCTTCATATCCTACTATACATCTCACTACTGCCATTCTTACTACACATCCTACTGGATCCATTCCTAGCCACCTACAATTTTTTTTATTAATCTAACCGACTTTAACCCTTCATTACAACACATAACACATTTTATACCTAATTCAGTACATTTCGAATCTACCGATAGTCCTCTTATAGAATCATCTCATATTCGTTCATTTCCTAAGATTGAGAGTTTAGACCTTAATGGTCATAGATGGATTCATCTAGGACCAACAAACATGTAAGTAAACCTTGAACATTTTAAGTATTGAACTTCATCTATTATTTACATATTTAATTGTAATTGGAACTAATATTTTATTTTACAATTTTGATCATTCAACCCATGCATGAAATTACAAGGACAATAATGGGAAAGTTCGAAGGAATTTGGGAAACCTACGGAGGAGAGGTTAAGAGCAAATCTCCAAATGTGGCTTAAATATGGTGAAAATAATTTCATATATTTTCACTTTTCATATAGTTTCATACTTGTTAAATATTATTGATAAATAAATTTGTCACGTAGAAGAAGTATAAAGGGTTGCTTGAACATGGAGCCTAACTTAAAAGAATATATGAACACAAAGCATATGATGGTTATTCAAATACAATGTATAGGATTGAATGTGAGGTTGATGTTGGATATTGGATTCTACTTCAATGAAAGAACAATTACATAAAAAATGGAACAATAAATATTGACAGGATATAATAAAAACTAATGCAAAAATAAGAAAGTTTATTATGGTTCATTACATATCGGTGGATTAATCATTGCATCTGATCATTTTAAACATGTGGTATGTAATTTAAATTGTTTTCATATTTGCTAACTATATTACAAATAAATTGTTTTTATTATTTTCGACTATAATTTGTGTTTATCTTAATAAACAAGTGACAACTGCATATGCAATTTCAACATGTTGGGACTCATTCAAAAAGACCCATAAGAATACTAAAGAAGATGCATGAGTGTTCGCTAAGGCAAGAAAGATTACTATAAGTTTTAAAGATATCTTATTATTTACTTATTATATATATATATATATATATATATATATATATATATATATATATATTAAATATAACACTATTTTACTTTTAGGATGAATATGAAAAATGTATTATCATATAGCTTCATTAGAGGAAACAAATGATAATGGTTATGATGATGTATCTAGTCATACATTTGATGGCGACATTTTTTATGGTATTATCAAAAGTATGGACAAAAGAGGTGTTAGAAATACAAACTGAGATCAAGAGAGGGGTGAATTGATCTAATCAAAACTTTTTGCAACTTTTGATTATAGATTAACAATTTCAAAATTAATCTTGAATAAAAGAATGAAAAGAAATAAGAACAAGAATACAAAATTTATACTGGTTCACCCAATCACTAGGCTACATCTAGTTCTCAAACAATTCCAGCTGAGTTCCATTAATCAAAATTCAATTGATTATAAGTACAAATAATAGAAAATCAATCTACACCAAGAACTACAACCAAGTTCTTGAACCTATAACAGCAACTACAATTCCAATTGCTTAAACCAGTGCCCACAATTGCAGACACAAAAAATACAAAAAAACAAATGAAGAATCAAGATGTTTGAAGAAATTACAACAATCAAATGAATATGCAAATGCAAAAATCCAATCACATAATGAGTTTCTTAAAAAACAAGAACAAAGAGCCTCAAGAATGATTTCAAAAGAATTCTAAAGAATAAAGCGTAATTCTCTCTTAGAACAAATATCTAAGGATTACTTGAATAATGATTTCTGAAAAGTGTATTTCAAAATGTAGATGGAAATCTATTTATATAAAGGTATTTCTAACTAACTGATATATTAATCGATTAATTCACAATTGAATCGATTAAAACAATTTAATTTAAATGAATTTAATTGTTGAAAATGCTTTTTAATCTATTAGAAAGGTTCTGTCAATTCTTTTCGAGATGATTTTAACTGATAAAAACATGGTTTAATCGATTAAAATAATTGTGGATATTTTCTAGAGAAGTTTTAATTGATAAAAACAAAGTTTAATTGATTAAAAGAATACTGGATATTTTTCAAGAGACGTTTTAACTTATGAAAACAAGGTTTAATTGATTAAAAGATTTCTGGATATTTTCTAAAGATGTTTTAACTGATGAAAACGTGATTTAATTTATTATTTCAAAAATGTATCAACTAAAACTGTGAATATAAAAGTCCTTTAGTTGCTTAAGTGAATTTAATCGATTATTTAGAAAACATATCAATTAAAATTGCGACTACACAAGTTCTTTAGCTGCGTAAGTGAATTTAATTGATTATTTCGAAAACATATCAATTAAAAACCTTACTGAAGAATATATTAATCGATTAAAACAATTTTTAACAGATTGAGACACTTTATACTTTGTAAAAGAAAAAAACTTGAAGAGAGGATAGATACTTATACCTACACAATGTAGATGCAGACACACTAATGGAGTTAACACAATATCTTCTTTTGACTACATCAAATCTTCTAGCAAGTCTACTTCTTCGTCAAGAAGGTGTGTCTATGGGTTAGGATATGTGACAAACAATTATAAAGTTTCCTCTTCTTCATCATCAAACTTAGATCACATTATCTAAATATGACGAGATGAAACAATTAATAATGAATCTATTAAAATCAAATCACATAATCTCAACAAGAGTTAGATTTGTTAAGGCAATAAATTATTAGAGTTTCAACCTCACCCCACACTAGTAGGATTTTCCTCACCATTTCAAACTCCACAAGTCTAACCTCTTGTGCAAGTCCAACAAGAAAACGAAGAAGAATTAGATGATAGTTGATTAATAAATTTTATTAATATTTTTATTTATATATTTTATATATAATTAGTTTGCCTCTTTAATTAATTATTAGCATAGTTTTCATAAAAAAATATTTTTTATTTAAATTATTACTTAATTTATATATTTTAACTAATTATTTATTTATTTTTAGAGGAATCATAAATTAAAAAACAATATCAAGTTTTATTATTAAGAATAGTAATAATTGATTCATTCTTATTTATATATCTTTATATCATTATGTTATTTAATTTAGATGTTTTTGGACAATTAATTTGTTGAACACATATATTATGTAATGTTATTGTTTTTATACGGATTAATTTAGTATATATTATTAAATTTTGTCTACAATTATAATAAAAATATAAATGTATTATTTTTAATTGCACTTGCTTAAACCCTAAAATATTGGCCCAAAGTGTCCTTACTTTAAGCCAAAATAACTTGCTTAAAGTGATGCACACTTAACCGTGGAAATATTAGCTTCAACCAAATCCCTCCTGGGTGGGTATAATTTCACTTGAGCGATTTCTTCTTAACTCACTCTTCCTTTATTGGAGTGACTTTCATTTAAATGGAGACAAATGTTTAAGTGAGAAACACTTAAATGATTCACGATTTGCGATGACAGTGAAATAATCGGACACTAAAAAAAATGGACTTTTTTTCATAAATAATACTGATTTCAAAAATATTTACCAAAATAGCACCTCTGCAACTTTATTTACACAACTAGCACTGTTACTGTTCACGTAATAAAATAATATTATTTCGCGCAACTGTTCACTGTTCACTGTATTAAAATAATATTATTTCGCGTACTGAACTCTCGCTCAAGCGAAGAAAACCTTCGCTTGAGCGAGGAAAACTGTAACAAAGGGGTAATCTGGGGTAAATTCTCGCTCAAACGAAGGTTTTCTCGCTTGAGCGAAAAGTATGATCGACTATTATCCAATTATAGTCGATCACTTTGACATATATGACTTTAGATAGCGGTTATTTGGCCAACCGCTATCTAAACTACTACATTAGATAGCGGTTATTTGCCCAACCGCTATCTAAACTACTACTTTAGATAGCAGTTATTTGGCCAACCGCTATCTTAGGTGACTCAAGCGAACTGCGTTTGGCGTTTCATGATTCGGTCATTACTCGCTCAAGCGACAAAGTCACCGCTTGAGCGATGAAGCCTTCAAACAAGGGGGACTCTCGGATTCTGTTTCGCTCGAGCGAGGCGTACTTTCGCTCGAGCGATAAGTGATTGAAATATGTGGTGACGTAAGTTGCATTATGTGGCTAACTGCGTTGGACGTTTAGTTGTGGTCAATTATCGCTCAAGCGAGAAACCATCGCTTGAGCGAGCAAACCTGCAGGCGACCCAGGTGTATGTTTAAAAAGTTCAAGCAAACTGATTTTAAAGAGTATTTTCATAACTGCTGCATTAATTAATCTGTTGAAAGTTTGTTTTAATCTGTTGAAATAGCCGTTTCAATCTGTTAAAAGTCCTTTCAATCCATTAATACGTTCTTCATTCTTTAACAGATTTGTTTTAGCTGATACTACAACGGTTATATCAATTAAAACACTTTACAAAACTTTTCTAAGTTTGATTCAATCGATTGTTTCGTGTTTTAATCGATTGATATACTGCAAAACTTTCTTATAAAAACTTTCCAAGTTATTTTAGCTGATAAAAAGAAGTTTTAATCGATTAAAACTTTGTACAAACTTTTTCGAAGTTGTTTTAATCGGTTGAAACGCGTTTTAATCGATTGAAACTCTGTACAAAATTTTTCCAAGTTATTTTAATCGATTGAAATACGTTATAATCGATTGAAACAGATCTGATCGGTCATAATTCAATTCTGATCGATCATAACTCACTCTGATGGGTCATAACTGCATTCTGATCGATCATTCTGACCCTTGAAGTTATTTTAATCGATTGAAACGTGTTTTAATCGATTGAAATAAGTTCTGATCGCTCATATTTAAAATCTGATCGGTCATAATGGGTTCTAAAGGGTTTTCATCGATAAAAAGTAATTTGTATCGATTAAAATACTGTAAAAACACTTCTTTGATCATTCTAAGTCACTCCACAGAATTGATGCTTGACAGCCCCACAACCTCAAGCACTTTAACCCTGAGTAACCAACCAACCATCAGTCAAGAAATTTTAAATTCTCTTTACATGCTATCATCCCCATATTCACCTTCAATGAATCAATTACAGTCAGCTCCAGGTAAAACAATACAGAAACAATATAATTTCATAAACAGAACAAACTCCCCTTTCAGCAACATCATATAATGCAACCTGGGTCCCCTGCAGGTTTTCTCGCTCAAGCGATAGTTTCTCGCTTGAGCGATAATTGACCATAGCTAAACGTCCAACGCAGTTAGCCACATAATGCAACTTGCGTCACCACATATTTCAATCACTTATCGCTCGAGCGAAAGTACGCCTCGCTCGAGCGAAACAGAACCCGAGAGTCCCCCTTGTTTGAAGGCTTCATCGCTCAAGCGGTGACTTTGTCACTTGAGCGAGTAATGACCGAATCATGAAATGCCAAACGCAGTTCGCTTGAGTCACCTTAGATAGCGGTTGGCCAAATAACCGCTATCTAAAGTAGTAGTTTAGATAGTGGTTTGGCAAATAACCGCTATCTTATGTAGTAGTTTAGATAGCGGTTGGCCAAATAACCGCTATCTAAAGTCATATATGTCAAAGTGATCGACTATAATTGGATAATAGTCGATCATACTTTTCGCTCAAGCGAGAAAGCCTTCGCTTGAGCGAGAATTTACCCCAGATTACCCCTTTGTTACAGGTTTCCTCGCTCAAGCGAAGGTTTTCTTCGCTTGAGCGAGAGTTCAGTATGCGAAATAATATTATTTTAATACAGTGAACAGTGAACAGTTGCGCGAAATAATATTATTTTATTACGTGAACGATGAACAATGCTAGTTGTGTAAATAAAGTTGCAGAGGTGCTATTTTGGTAAATATTTTTGAAAACAAGTATTATTTATGAAAAAAAGTCAAAAAATGTGATAATTTTTTTGTGATGACTTCGCTCTTAGTCACAAATTCCATCTTTTTTGATGAAATTATTGTTTTGTGACAAATTTTACTCATAAAAAAAATACTTAAAAAAAAACTAAAAATAGAACATTCATTCATTTTAAGTACCACTTTTGTAAACAAGATCTAATTCTATTTCTAGCTCCTTCAATAATTTGAATTTTCTAAATTTAAAAACTATAAAATGTAAAAGTCTAGAAATATCACGTAAGTGATGGCTGAAATCATGCTTTCCTTGTATACCTTTTGATTGACACATTTTATTTAGTCATGTCTAGCTTTTAACCTTTGAAAAGTTTTCTCTGGAATCAAAGTGATACTTTTTTACAGATATAATATTATAATATATATATATATATATATATATATATATATATATATATATATATATATCAGAATTTATATTGTGTATATTTATTCAGTTGAACCTGTTTATTGTTACTTTTGGTCCAACCTTAAATTTATTATCTTTTTTTAAATAAAAATTAAATAAAAATATAATTAAAATAAAAAGTATATAAAAATAATAAAAATAATATTAATAATAAAATTTTAATTTTAAAATTTAAATAATATTTATATATAAATAATAAAAATAATGTATTATTTAAATATATATTAAATTATTTAAATATATATTAAATTATTTAAATATATTTAAATAATTATTAAAAATATTAAATAATAACTTTTTTATTATATATATATTATTTTGGAATAGGAAATTTAAAATTTATATATTTTTTATTATATGAATTATTTAAGTTATAATTTTAGAAAAAAATAGAATAAATAAAAATTTAATTTAGGTAATATATTAAAAAAATTAAATATTATATTATAAAAATTTATGTAATAGTTTTTATTTGATAAATTATAAATATTATATTAAAAAATTAATACTAAAATTAATTTTTTTAAAATAATAAAGTAAAATATTATTTAATTAGTTAAAAATTATTATTATTAATAAAAAATAAACTTAAAAATAAAAAATAATAAAAGTTGACAGAATTTAATGTATAATATTAAAAATAACATAATCATTAATAATAAAAATTGAAAAATAAAATTATTGACAATAATGTTAAGAAAATTTTAATCTCCAAAATGGTGTCCAGTTCCACAACGAGGACGACGTCTCCTGAAATTCAACAACAACTACACCGATGAAATCCAAAACGTAATAGACGTCGTCCTCGTTTTATTTTTCAATTTTTATTATCAATGATTATGTTATTTTTAATATTATATATTAAATTCTGTCAATTTTTATTATTTTTTATTTTTAAGTTTATTTTTTATTAATAATAATAATTTTTAACTAATTAAATAATATTTTTACTTTATTATTTTAAAAAAATTAATTTTAGTATTAATTTTTTAATATAATATTTATAATTTATCAAATAAAAACTATTACATAAATTTTTATAATATAATATTTAATTTTTTTAATATATTACCTAAATTAAATTTTTATTTATTCTATTTTTATCTAAAATTATAACTTAAATAATTCATATAATAAAAAAATATATAAATTTTAAATTTCCTATTAAAAATAAAATAATATATATATATATATATAAATATAATAAAAAATTTATTATTTAATATTTTTAATAATTATTTAAATATATTTAAATAATTTAATATATATTTAAATAATACATTATTTTTATTATTTTATATATAAATATTATTTAAATTTTAAAATTAAAATTTTATTATTAATATTATTTTTATATAATTTTTTAATTTTTAAATATATTTTTATTTAATTTTTTATTTTAAAGAAGATAACAAATTTAAGGTTGGAATTAGATTTTCAGGAAACCGAATTCCAAACGTAACATTAAACCGGTTCAAGTGAGTAAATATACTCAATGCTGATTCTGATACGTATATATATATATATATATATATATATATATATATATATATATATATATATATATATATATTATAATATTATACGTGTAAAAAAGTCTCAAAGTGGCGCTCAAAGGCACAAAATAGGTAAATGTAAAAAGTAATGAAAACTCATTTATCAATTAGCCTCAGTAAGAAAAACCTTTAGGTTGGCATGCCTTTAAAATATTATACAATATTTTAATATTAAAAATAAATAAGTGAGAGTACTCTTCCTGGAAACATTGGAAAACACTTTTAACAGCTGCAACAACCAAACTTTTACAAGAACAATAATGAGGTGGAACATTAAAAAAAAAAAAAACATTATAGTGAATTACAAATATTAGTTGACATCGAATTATAACAAAACAACCAAAATTTTCAGAAAGAAAAATAAATGAAATATAGTTAAATGTGGATTTTGAATGGAGTTAAAACGAATAGAGGCTGCTTATTAACTGGCGTAGTGAGACAGAGCTCCCTAATCAGGCAGCCATGATTTTCTGACGCTTGTTGGATTGTTGAGCAATGACTTCCTTGTGTGCATCCAATGCAGTTTTCATGACTTCACAATCAACCAAGCCCTTCTTCTCTTCCATAATGTTAGTGGCTATTATGGGGGGATGCATCTTTTCAAGGTCATGCAACACATTGTGTATGTCAAACACAAGGCGTTGAGCAAGGGTGCGCGAAAACTCAGCCCTTATCACCACACGGAGCACATTGACGTGTTGAGCAGCAGGTGGCATTGGATAAGCTGGCACGATCCAACCGTGGCGGCGCAACATCTCTGATATCTTGTACTCATCGTACTGGCTTCTGTCTTTCAGACAAAATGCCACCACAGGAACACCATTGTCTTTTGAGAGTATGTTAAAGCTTCCACACTTCTCCAAATCTTCCTTCAGCACCGTTGCGTTTTCTCTGCAGTTCTCCATTATGCTTTTGTAGCCCTGGTAAGACCAATAAGAGAGCTAAGGATATATAACGAATGTTAATTTCTTATAAGAAATGATCGACCATGGATCATTGTAATATTTTATGGTTAAATGCAATCACTGATTAGACCAATAAAATTGATTTTGTTGTATTAGTTAGGTTGTTGGAAGGAAAGGGGTCGTAAATCCTACTATATGAGCTCACCTCTTGGCCAAGACGAATTAGCTGATAATATTGAGCTATGATCTGACTGGAACCTAAAAGTGGATATGATAACGTGAGTCTAAGGTATGAGTAGGTAATCAAGGTGTCCAAGGAGTATAAATAGTTTGTAATGAATTACCTTTAGAGAAATTGAGGGTGAAGGTGGGTTGGTCAGCTCCAAGGTAATTAATATGGAAGACAAGGTCTTCTGGCAAGTCCTCCTTGCTCCTCCAAATAACCCAACCAATACCAGCATAAACAAGTCCATATTTGTGGCCACTCACATTAATGCTCTTCACCAATGGGAGTCTGAAATCCCACTCTAGCTCTGGATAAAGGAAAGGAGCAATAAAACCACCACTAGCAGCATCCACATGAATAGGCGTATCCCAGCTGTAATATGACAAAAGTAAAACAAATTAGTACAGGACAAAGCAAAGGCAAGTGAAAAGTATACTTGAATTGAATGTGACTAACCCAGTTTGCTTGTTTTTTTGTAGTAGTAGATCATTGAGGAGCTTCACATCTTCGAACTCTCCATTGTAAGTTGAACCCAAGATTGCAGCCACACAAATAGTGTTCTCATCAACCAATTCAACTGCTTTAGCAGGGTCCATGACGTAGTACCCTTCTCTCACCTCCACTTCCCTCAACTCCACCTCAAAATACCTGGCAAATTTCTCCCAACATACTTGCACGTTGGAACCAGTGACCAAATTAGGCTTATCGTATACCCTCTGCCTTCCGCTTGTTCTGCCACTTCTTCTTGAATGCAAGCCCTGCCAGCATTATGGCCTCTGATGATCCCACAGTTCCTGCTCCAACTGCATTCCCATCTTCTTCTATTTCAGCGTGGAATAATCGTGCTATCATATTCACGCACCGATTCTGTTTCCATTAGAACAACCAGAGAGAAGGAAAAATTATGGAGGGGGTCAAACTCCAAGAAAATATTTCATATTCCAAAAAGTAGAAAATTTAAAAGGAAAATAAATTGATTATGAGCAAATACGTGAAGATCAGTGGTGATAGGATATTCGTCCATGTCCACATAGTTCTTGTTGATGGATTCCATGATGAGTTTGTTGCACTCTTCCTCCATGGAAGTGGTCACGAAAGAAGCCAAGTTCAGCTTCGGAATGGCATCAAGCTGTAACTCATCATGAATGTTCTGGTAGGCAGCCTCCTTAGACATGGAGTCCTCAGGCATGCTAAACCTGCATCACGAAAACAACACTTCATCAAGTCCCTCCCCAGAATGAAAATCAAATTAAAGAGCATATATATATATATATATATATATATATATATATATATATATATATATATATATATATATATATATATATATATATATATATATATATGTCAAAGATATGAAAATGGTATTCAATGTACATTACAAAAATGAAGAGGAGCGGTAGATGTGAATGAAAAAGTTGAAAATCAAAACATATATATTACCTGGGAAGAGATTCCCTAGCATAGCGAGAAGCAAAATTGGAATGAAGAAAGAGGTCAGACTCGGAAGCAGGTTTTGGAAAAACCATTGTGTTAGAATATGTTGGTGATCTTATAGACTGCAAATAGAGAACAGTTGGCTCTACAATAAGGTGTTTGTTCTGAACTTTGTATGTGTTGATGAAGGGAGAAGTTGTGGTATTTATAGGTTGATAAGAAGCGGAGAATCATTCTTTGTTTGCGAATTTTCTTTGCATATTAGTCAACTACGTACATGGCAGAAGAAGAAGACTTTGAAACCGTGACGGTCATAACTTTCGCTTCTTCTCTCACTCTTTTGTTTTTTTCTTAGTATTTTCTAGAAATGGCAGAAGACTTGAGAAAGTTATATTTTATTGCGCGTTTTCTTATACTAGTACTATTTTGTTTCTTGTACTCCTCGCTTATTTTATATGTAGGAAAAATAAATATTTCCAAATATTTTGTTAATTTCAGAAATTAAATTCAAATTAAAATAATCCAAGTTGTTATTCAAGTTAAACAATAAAGAATTGAAATTTTTTTTATCTCGTACTAGTAGTAAAATATATTAAATTAAATATTATTTAAAATATCATAAATATATAATATCATAATAAGTATTCATTTATATATATATATATATATATATATATATATATATATATATATATTAGTATCAAAATCTCAAACACTAGTAATAAAATATTAAAAATAAAAATATTGTAACTTAATGTTATTCTTGCATGTAACATCAATTGTCCCGTAGCGCAAGTTGGGTAGGTCAAGTTACAATCGAATCGTGATACTTTGATTGTTATTCTTAAGTAAAAAGAGTTTCACACTAATAGTTATATTTTGTAGCTAAGGTGATATTAGAGTCAAGGTCACGAGTTTGATTGCTATTGGACTTCTATTATCGTGGTTGTTTTATCAATGTTGATCCATCTCTTTTTACATTATTTTTAAAATAATTATTATATTTATAATAAATTAGTTTTAATATTTTTATATATAAATAAATATTTATAATTTTATAATAATTATTAAATAATATATATATATATATTTTAATTTATTATATTTGTATTAAAATATGTATGTAAAAAAATACTTAATATTTTTTATATGAATATTAAATATTTATATTATTATTATTATTATATTATATTTAAATATTTGATTACTTCTATAAAATAATTATTTTTTAAGTTGTTATTTTAAATTATTAATAAATATGAAATATATAATTTTATAAAAAAATTAATAAATTAATTCTTGTTTAATTAAAGCATAATAATAAAAATTTTAATTATCAATTATTTTTAATTAGATCCTAAAAAATATAAATATTTTTTATTAAGATAAAATTTGATATATGATAGATAAGAATAATAAAATTTAAAAATTATGACATAATAAAATCTAATAAAGATAAACTAGAAATAAAATATTATTAGGTACTTCTAATATTGATGTATAACATTTATAGAAAGATAAAAAAAATAACATTGTGTTTGTCAAATTGGTTGAAGAGATTGGAAAAATTAAATTAATTGAAGAGATTAAGAAGACGTGAAAGAGTAAAATGTAAGAGAAAAATAATAATATAATGAACAAATTGGTTGGAGAGAATAAAATAATGAAAAGTGTGGGTAAGGAAAAAAGTAAAGAGTGTGAAATATGGAAGAAATTACGTTATATATAATACGAAAAAGAATAAGCAAATACTTTAAAAAGTTAATAATTTAGGGCTTAGATTTAAATATAAATTTGGGATGATGATGAGGCCAAGGTGGGGATTGAGTTACCTATCCACGTCCTTTCTCTCGGTCTTTTAATACGAGAAAAATCTGAACATGTATCTATTCAACTTGGTTTTTCTCTATTGAACTCGGGATGAGAACAAATCGGTACCTGAGGGTGTGGGTGAGTATAATTATCATATGTGTAATAACAAATACATTTTTTAAATTTAAACTTAATGAAAAATTATTTTATTTCATATAAATATTTTAACAACAAAACAATATGTTAGAGAAAAACATAACAAAAACAACGGAGCCCCATGGAATTCGTGAACAGTGAGTGAGTCATTAGTAATTTGTTTACTTTTCAATCACATTACCACGAGATGTTTTAATTTAATGCAATAATGAATATAATACTCAATTACTACACTTTAGTTGTCATTACATGAGCAACTTCAATTTTGGCGTGGCAATAGAATGTTTATTACGGTTATGAATGTATAAATATTTTATTTAAATATTTCTTCTTAAAAAGAATTATTCGACAGAGTTGGTTAATGAGTTCAGATAGATAGTTTTAGATGGCTATTGCTTTGTAATCTGTTGGTTTGAACTCTACTTAACGATGAAAAAAAGATGAAGGGTCATTTACAAAATGCTTAAGTTATCATAAAAAAAAGGATATATGTAAATAATATAAAAGTCTCTTAACAAGGATAAAATGTAATGAGTAGAGTGGTCCTACTCTTGTCACGGAAATTTAGGTAATAAATTATATTTGATTTAATGTTAATAATTACCTTTTAGATGAAATATTATGTATAATTGAATAATGAAATATGTTGTTTTTTGCATTATTATCATAATACACATTTAAATAAATTAATTCTAACAATATTTCTATTAGGCATAATAAATGTAATAAATACGAAAATCTGGTAGGTACATATATTACAAGAAAAATAGGATTTCTTGACTGATCAAATTAAGGTAATCATGAAAATCCATTGATAAATAGATATTATTGATGAATTATCGACAGACAAAAATTGGTCACTAATTGTATTATCAGTAAAATTTACTGGCAAAATTTTCTAATTCATCGATAATTACTGACAAATGTATAATGGGAAAATATCGTGGATAATTATCGACAAGTATATTTGTGGGTAAAGTCTGGTAGGTGTTGTGCTTTCAAAAGACTTATCGACGGATATATCTACAGGTAACGAAAAATCCTTCGGTAAAATCCATTGATAAAATTACCTCTATTTTCAAATGTCATTATCTTGATTATTCTCACTATTAAATGTTTGTACAAACAATACTACAATAATATTTGAGTTTTAATATATATCTTTAGTCTCTTTTTAGGAACTGTATGATTGTCATGGATACCATTGTATATTTAGTCCAATTCAAAAATTCAATTCAACAATTTATTTAACAATCCAATTTAATAGTATAAATCTAACTAAATTAATAACAACTAAATTTAAATATACTTTAAATTATTGACAATCAAACATAACATTTAAGTATGATGATAAAGTACAATCATGTGAGTAGTGACAATCATACCGTTCCTAAAAAGAGACTAAAGATATATATTAAAACTCAAATATTATTGTAGTATTGTTTGTACAAACATTTAATAGTGAGAATAATCAAGAAAATGTTGTTCTGATATGTTGTCTTGTTGTGGTGAGTTATCTTGTTGCTCTTGATTCTCTTCTTGTTGGATTTGTTCTTCACTATTTAGTTGATTATTTTGGTATTGCTGAATGAGTGATTGTGCACCGGGGGTAGAAATTGAACGATTGTTGAATGAGTGACTGTGCTCCAATGTACTAACAACCTACTCTCCATTCCAGTCTAGCATTTGACCAACAATTCTCACATCCCTCAACATCTCACTAAGTATGTGAGATACTTTTGAATGAAAATTCTTCTTTATTTGATGTTCATGCTTTGCTCCCCATTGAACCTTCATCTATAAAAATGAAAATTATTATACAAATTATAGAGAAATGACTAAAAAACATATATTCAATAATTACAAATATATACATTAGTGGAAATAAACAATAAGATTAAACTTCCTTCTAATAATCAAGTATGTACACACTTATAAGTTACCTTAAAATGTTGGAAAAAGGACTCCTTATCACTATTAGGTATCACTCCACATGTAGTCCAAAGCTCAAGAAATTGTTGTTTAATACTTTTTGTTATAGCCAATGATGCAACTCTGGATGGAAGAAACCTAATTACAAAGAAAAAGTAATACAAATTAGATATGTTATGAAAATGACTAAAACATAGTTATAATGTTATGCTTGACCATAAGGTTCAATCATCAATCGATCATGGATAACAGGATTATCTTCTCCAACCTTGGAATCAACATCTGCAATAGGTGAGTGACCTTGAGAGGAGGAAGTCCTGAGGCCACAATAGGGGATGGGGATGGAGATGAGGCGGGTGCCACAACTGGAGAAGGGGTGGGTGCCACAACTGTTGCAGATGATGGTATGGGTGGTAGAATAGAAATGGATGATGTTGTGGATGGTGTGGGTACAATAGGTAAAAGTTGTGAAGGGGATGGTGTAAGTCTTACAACAGAGGATGACAATGGTATGGGTGCAAAAAGTGTGGATGATCTAGGTGTAATGGATGGTTTAGGCACAGTGGATGTGGAAGGTAAATTTGTGGAAAACACTTTCAAAATGTAACATGGTCTCTTTTTCTTTTATATCGCTTCCCTTTATTACCACCAGTTAGCATGGCATCTGGCCCAATCTTCTAAGCCCAAAATTGCTTTAAATTGTCTTGAAAATAATAATGAGCAAAAATTAGATTAAATAGATCCAAATTAATTAAAATCTGAATTATTGGCCCAATGAAGCCCAATTAATAAAAATTCACTAATAATCGAAAATTAAGCTCAAAACACTAATTAAAATAAGTATAGAAAGATAAGAAAATATGGGAATATAATGACTCATCAAATAACCCTACACTTAGCCTTTTGCACTCCTGGGCAAAATTAAGAAGCAAAGTAAGGAAATAAATCCAAAAACATTAAAGAAAATCATGCAAAGGATAGAAACAAAAACAAAGACAAAAACAACGACAAACAAAAACATAAACAAAATTACATACTCCTCAATGAAACCTGGGAAACAAAAGGAATAGACAACTTCCAACACTTAAAGAGTCAAAGAAACCAGACATCTATGGACATCGTCCAAACAATTCAAAACATGTCAAGAAAATCAATCTGCTCAAGAGGTGAATGAAAAGCAACAAAATTTCAC